TGATTCTTTGTTTTTATAATTCAAATTAGTCCTTGTCCATTTGATGTAGAAGTTTTCTGTTTGTATAAATTAAGTAGGAAGGCAGTGGGCTTCCCATCAATTTCACTACTAGGAACACCATGATTAGCCAATGCCAGAGCTCTATACCAATCGACTATTCTGATTGCCACTTTGCTTTTTCTGCCCTTTACTGTAACTACATCCACCTTGCCTTTGACGGTTGAGTGCTGCCACTTGGCCCCTACCACCTCTGGATTCAATTATTCCCATTGTATTTAAGTGTTGTGGTTGAGTGACTGCAGCTCCCACCGTTAGATTTGACATACAGAGAAGAGCAATTACAGGGCTCTTAAAAAATGCAGGTGCTAAGGCCGGGCTCGGTGGCTCATGCCTGTAATCCCGGCACTTTGGGACGCCAAGATGGGTGGATCACGAGGTCGGGAGTTCAAGACCAGCCTGGCCAAGATGGTGAAACCCCATCTCTATTAAAAAAAAAAAAAAAAAAAAAAAAAAAAAAAAAAATGTAGGTGCTGCCCTCACAAATCTATTTCACAAGGCATTGATCAACGGTGTATCTTCTGGACCCTCCCAGCTGGGATGAGTAGGTCTAAAGTAACTAATCAACTCCACCATCCCAATCTCCCTAAGCCTTTGGATCTCTTCCTCTACATTAAACCACGGGAGATCAGGCATTTCCAGCTTGCTCACAGTGGGCCATCGTTTGACCCCTATTTCGGCTAACCAAGCAAATAAACTACTAGAACCTTTTTTGAGGGGGGCAAATTACAGGCTTGAGCTACCGCACCTGGCCTCAATTATTTTAATCTTTGAATAACTTCAGAAGTCTGGGGTTCCTTTTTTCTTTTTGAGACGGAGTCTCCCTCTGTAACACAGGCTGGAATGCAGTGATCTTGGCTCACTGCAACCTCTATCTCCCAGGTTCAAGCAATTCTGCCTCAGCCTCCTGAGTAGCTGGGATTACAAGCAGGAGCCATCATAACCAGCTAATTATTTTTGTATTTTTAGTAGAGACGAGGTTCCACCATGTGTGCCAGACTGCTCTCCTGGACTCAGGCCTAATCTACCTGCCTCGGCCTCCCAAAGTGCTGAGTGCTGGGATTACAGGTGTGAACCACCCTCCCGGCCGCCATCCGCGTTCATGGCAGATGGTATTGTGATATAGCTAACTTAAGTTGGAACCTGTATACTGCCATCTTATAAAAGACAAAAATGTTTCCATTCTCCTCAAGGACTGCTAACCTTGGTTTCTGTAAATTGCTGGATCATTTGCAGGATGCAAAGAGAGGTAAAGCAGCATACCTTCTCTTAACTGCCAGAATTGCTGGCCTTTGTTTCCCAGAGTAAGCACCCCCAGATCATTCCATCCTGGCGCCAAGCCACTGAAAATCTATGGATCCCACCCCTACCCAGACGATGTGTAAATGAATGCTAATCTTAGCATCTGTGAACCCTTAAATAACAATCAGAATGTCAAATAGTCCCCTGGCTCTCGAAATGTCTGGAACCCCCTCACCCTCCTCTCCGCCCAGAAGGTGATTTCAACCCACTGGCCCTCGGAATTTCTGAAGCCCCTCACCCTCGTCTTAGCCTGGGAGGTGATTGACAGCTTTCATTCCCATCTCCACCCCCACTCCCAAGGTGGTTTTGCGGGTATAAAAAGGTCTTGTCTCTCTTCTTTCGGGGCCACGGGTTGGAGAGACGCGAGTCCTCCGTGGTCGCCGGCAATAAACCCTGCAATTTGGCATACTTTTGTTCTGGTGTTGACTTTCTGCGCTAAGTTCAATGCAACAGTATGCTGTAGAAAGATCCTCGTTGGGGGTCTTGTTCTCTTTTGAACCCACTCCACAAAATCTCCCGTTCTTTTTCGCGGCACTCCACGACGCTGCTTTTGTCCAGGTTCCTAAATCCAATGGCCACTTGTCAAGCCCCAACTTCCTTGACCCATCGACAGCTTTCCACATAGTTGAGCGTTCCCTGGATCCAGACATACCTTCTGGGCTTGGTTTCTGGAACACCCAGCCCTCCTGGTTTTCCTTCTGCCTGTTCCTCCTTGATTTGGAGAGCCCCAGGGCTCATTCTTCGCCCCTCTGCTGCCTTCCGGCTGCACATTCTTTCTGGTTCGGAGGCACTCCTCCAGACTCACGGTCTCCAAAGAGTCCCAGCCTGGAGTCCAGAATGGCACATCCAGCGGCCTGGCTGACACCTCTGCTTGGCCGTCTGGCTTGCCGCCTCTCTAGCTCTTCCTCTCCAAAACCGATCAGGACATCCCGCGCCCTTCCCCACTCCCTACCCGCAACCTCCCAGCCCCCCAACCCCGAGCCCACAAACCTAGTCCTCGCCCAACTCTGAATGCGGCAGTCACTCTGGCTTACACCCTTGGAGCCACCCTCCACTCCTTTCTCCCGCGCCCATCCCAGCTGTCCGCAAAGGCCGTCAGCTCTGCTTTCAGAGTACAGCCAGCATCTGGCCACCTCTCGGCCCCCGCGCTGCCCCACCCGGGCCCAGGCCCTCGCTGCCTTCCCGTTTCTCTGCCCAGGCCCCAGTAGCCGTTCCCAGGGAGGTGGTGGTCGCGCTCACGGCGCCACCGCCCCCCCTCAGCGCGCCCCTTCTGAGGGAGGGGAGCCCACGAGGCCCCGCCAGATCCGACGCCCTCCGGGGTCACCTCCCGGACCCCCTCCCCCCCCGCCCCGCGCCACCCCAGCCACTCGGTCCTCCGGGCGCACACCGGGGCTTCGGATCCGGCGGTTCCCTCTGCGTTCCAGGCGCCTCGCCTCCTTGCCGGGCAGAAGCGGCTTCGCAGCGCCACACACGAAGCGGAGGGGCCGGTTTCCGAAGGCTCCGCCCAGGCCTCGAACCTGGGGGAGGGGGAGCTTCCTCCCCGGGGCTGCGCCCTCGCCTCCTCGAAAACTCGCCGGGGCAGACGGTGGAGAAATGGCGAGAGGGGCGGAGACTAAGTACCTGTCTCCTTGTGCTCAGCGACACAAAAGATGTCATCACATGTCTATAACAAATAACGAAGCAAGCCCAGCAAGGTGACTTCGGCGGGGGGGTGGGGGGGGTAGAAATACCGGTGCTCCCCAACAATTCTTTCAACGGATGTGTGAAAAAAAAATGTGTAAAGAAATGTTGAAAGCCAGCTAGGTCAGGACTGAAAGAGGAGGAAGGGGGAGGAGGAGAGAGAGAAGAAGAGAAGAAGAAGAAGAGGGAGAGGGAGGGGGAGGGGAGGGGAGGGGAGGAAGAAGAGAGAAAGAGAGAGATGCTAGAAAGAAAAGCCTCCTAGAACGTCTTTTTCGTTTTGGGCTTTTCCTATTGAGGTGCCTAGAAGCGGAAGGAGTTTTCCCGCGATCCCGGGGATTAATAAACGCTTTCCGGTTCCGTGGCAGGCGAGCTGGCAGGGAGAAAGGAGCTCGGCGCCTGTGGGGCGGGGCATGCAAATTAAAAATGGCCGTTTCGCCCGGGAGCTATGGGAGCAAAAAGAGAAAGTAAATATCCCCCCAAACTTGTAACCGTATTACTTATACAACGTTGCAAATTGTAACAATGAGTACCGTGTGAAGGTAGGGAAGAGAGGGCTTCTTTACTTGAAGATGATATTTCTTACCGTGAGCTCAGGGTGAGTGGACGAATGTGAGTCGTGGCCTGCGTGGCGGTAGTGGTTATCGCTTCTCGGCCTTTTGGCTAAGATCAAGTGTAGTATCTGTTCTTATCAGTTTAATATCTGATACGTCCTCTATCCGAGGACAATATATTAAATGGATTTTTGGAGCAGGGAGATGGAATAGGAGCTTGCTCCGTCCACTCCACGCATCGACCTGGTATTGCAGTACTTCCAGGAACGGTGCACCCCTTCGGGGGACACAATCTGTTTGCAAAGTTAGACGAATTTTGCGGCGTGGGCTTGTTTGGTTATTCCAATGGCCTTCTGATGTTTCTGCATAAGCGTTCGCCGGTTTCTTGGTGGGTTCGTGGCCGGCTCCTGAGAAACGCTTCTGCTGTACAGCACCAGGGCTTTGGAAATGCTATACTCGTTTTCTGTTTCTGGGTAGGAAGCCTGTACAATTGTTTCTGGAAGGTTCTCACATCCTAGCTTGGCAGCCCACTGCTGTGGGGTCCGCTACTTTTGCCCACCCTCAACTTTAAACTTCTTTCTCTTCCTTTTTTTCTTTCTTTCTTTCTTCTGGAATACATAGGTATACATGTGCCACGGTGGTTGGCGGCACCTCTCAACCAGCCGTCTAGATTTTAAGCCCGGCGGGCATTATGTATGACGCAGTTGTCCTCTCTCCCCTCGGCCCCCAACCCCCTTCAGGCTCCAGTGTGTGATGTTCCCCTCCCCTGTGACCATGTGTTCTCATTTCCACTTAGGAGTGAGAACATGTGGAGTTTGGTCTTCTGGTCCTCTGTCAGTTTGCTGACAACCACTGCTTCCAGCTTCACCCATGTTCCTGCAAAGAAACAGTTGGTTAGGATTATACCTGATCTTTATTTGACTTTTTCATTCCAGCCCGGCAGGAAAATACCAGGTACCTTGCCTAGTCCCTGTGAATAAGAAAGGTGCTTTGGCTAGAAAAAGGAAACCTCATCGGTGGCATCTTTCAGTTAGCCAAGAGTGGGGAGGACTTTTTTCTCGTGGTTTGCATGGGAGCTTAACTGCGGTAGAATAAAACGTCAGTTACATTGCTAACGTCTTGACTCCAAACCTTGGCTCCAAAACAGCATCCCAGCACCCACCCACCCACCCACCCAGGGCTTGAGGGAGCTCACTGCCCTGAAGCAAGGGACATAAACCTGGCTGGCTCTAGAGTTTAACACTGGTACACCTCTAGGGCCCTGAGGGAACATAGGTGCTACCTACCGGGTAGTGGATATAGCAGGACCTTGAGTGAGACCAGTGCTGTGCTGGGTTGGAGTGTGAACCCGCACAGTACCGGTTGGTGATAGCCACAGGGTTGCTTCTGTCTCCTCACCCCCAATTCCAGGCCTTGCAGCACAGAGAGAGACTCCGTTTGGTTTGGAGAAACTAAGGGAAAAGAACAAGAATCTCTGCCTGATAATCCGGAGAATTCTTCCGGATTTCGTCCAGGACCACCAGGGCAGTACCTCTACAAGTCTGTGAGAATCACACCATTATTGAGCTTGGGGCACACATACCCCTGGAATACCCGAGGACACACAGAAACAAGGCCAGACTGGGAAAAATACAATAAATACCGAACTCTTTCACGTGAAGACAAAACAAACATCCATGATGGGCATCAAGACCATCCTAGAGACAGCGGACACCAGTACTCCAAGATGGCTCGGTCCTACCATTGAAGGACAAGAAGCTTCTGGAGGTCAAACTAGGAGAGCTGCCAAGCTGGATCTTGATGCGGGACTTCAGCCCTAGTGGCATTGTCCGAGTGTTTCGAAGAGGTTACTACCAGTACTATAACAAAGATACCAACGTGAAGAAGGGCAGGATCGCGGGGATTACCATGGTGCTGGCATGCTACGTGGTCTTCAACTACACCTTTTCCTACGAGGAGCCCAAGCATGAGCGGCAACGCAAGTACCACTGAAGAAGACAAGCTCTGCACTCCCCTCCACGGCCTTCTTGGCTTGAGCCCCTCCATAAGGAACACAGTCTCGATTATTGCTGAAGCCTTTCATATCCTAATGGAATTAACCTCGAAGTAAAAGATGACTGGTTAAAAACAAACAAACAAACAAAACCATCCTAGAGTTGGCCGGGCGTGGTGGCTCACGCCTATAATCCCAGCACTTTGGGAGGCCCAGGCGGGTGGATCACCAGGTCAAGAGATCGAGACCATCCTGGTCAACAAGGTGAAACCCCGTCTCTACTAAAAATACAAAAATTAGCTGGGCATGGTGGCGCGCGCCCGTAGTCCCAGCTACTCGGGAGGCTGAGGCAGGAGAATTGCTTGAACTCGGGAGGCGGAGGTTGCGGTGAGCCGAGATTGCGCCATTGCACTCCAGCCTGGGTAGCAAGAACGAAACTCCGTCTCAAAAAAAAAAAAGATAGTCTGGTGGCTCTTCATTAACCCCTTTCTGGGAGCACTGAGATCTTGTAACTAGGAAATTGCTCATGATTAAGGGCCCCCATTTAAATCTTGCTGACCTCACACCAAAAATTAAAGGAACAGTAATCTTTCCAAAACTCCTATGAGAATACAAAAATAGTGGGAGAATGTAGACTCATACAGTTTCCATTCAAGGTCTAGAACTGAATCTCTACTCAGGTCAGGTCAGTTGCAGAACGAAAGACATGGGCTTTAGACTTAAGAAGACTTGGGTCTGAGTTCTGATGTCACTGCATAACAACAGCTCTAGATCTCAACTCAGAACAAACACATATCAAATAATTTGGAAGATTAAAAGAGATGATGTACAAAATGCCTGTCACGGTGCTATTACTGTAACCAGGAACCTGCATCTGAGTCTTCACAAAAGGTCATCCGGGCCTATGAAAACAACAGGAAGCTGAAACTCTATAAACTCTATAAACGAGTTTATTTCCCTTCTAGCTTCCCTAGTTTTTAATCTATAAAATATGGACTTTATCTGCCTTTACCTGCCCCTAGGGTTGATAGAAGGGGAAAAAAAGAGAAAACAAATGAGAGTGTGGTTTAGAAAGTAATACTCGTAAAATGAACTTAGAGTGGTACGATAATAATAATTTTTCTGGCTAACCCGATGAGGGATGAAGGTGGTGAGGGAGGAAGGCAGGGAGGGATGATAGGGTCCACTCCATTTATGCAAACCAACGGTTAAGTAGCCTGGATCTGAGAACACAAGTTCATGTGCCTTGGGTGCCTATCTGAAAGGCCTTTGACAGGACAGCCTCCAGAATGGAGAAGACAGCAGCACGTGCGCTCAACACACACACACACACACACACACACACACACACACTCTCTCTCTCTCTCTCTCTCTCTCTCTCTCTCTCTCTCTCTCTCTCTCTCGTTAATAATTTCCAGGTGTTGTGGTGCTGAGAAATGTGTCTAGGTAGCCGATGGCGCTCTTCCAGAATGGCCTAGCTATGGTCCTGAGGTCAAATGCGCCCTTTACAGACGTGGAAATGGTTCAGGTTTGAGGCACGGGACTGCCTGCCTGTGGCAGCTGCATTAGGAACCTCCTACACCCTTCCTGTAAGACTCAACTCCAAATGTTAGGAATTCATAGGGCTCCTTAAATCTTTGCTCTTATTAAAAAATAACCCAATGAAGTTAATGAATTTCTCTCATAGTCATCTGGAGTGTGGCTGCTTGGCCTCTGGATCTCCTCCTTGCTGGCAGGAGTCTCAAACAAATTCGTGGCTGCTGTTCTCCACTCAGCCTCAATGGGCATGGAGATGGTAATACCACTCTTTCTCCTTTGCACCTTATCAATGTTTTGTTTTTAAATCAAGCAATGAGTTATGGTGCCTTCATTCTTTCCCATGGAAGTTTTCACCTTCTCAGAAGATAACAGTTTCTGTCCAATTTACAGACTTTATGGTTAAATACAACTTGTCATTTAACTTTTAACACTAAAAGGACAATGTAGGTGTGATTAGACAGCAGTGGCTGGGATCACTTAATCTGTTTAGCTTTCCTTCTCCCAAAGGCCTGATGGTGTGAGCAGAGCACACCCAGAGTTAAGAAGGGATGAGGGTTGATTTCAATCAATGCAAGAGGGGAGCACCTTGGTTTTGAGCCTGTGGTAGCTCTACATGGGCCTCACAACAAAGTCTTCCCTAAAACTACAGTGATTTGTAATTGTAAGGAATGGGGCCAAAGGGCCAAAGAAAGCATCCTTACAAAGAGGAGAATAAGAAGACTTGAGTAATTAGATGCTTAAGTGGCTGGGCTGGGTTTTTTAAATGGGGATCTGAAACCAAAGAATAAAAGGCCTCTTTCCTAGAAATGTTCCAGACCACGAGGTAACAAACAAGCCTCTCATATGTCCCAAATTTACCTCTTATCATTTGTTGCTGCAGAGGGATTAATAAGCAAATATTATCAATTTGCTTCTTAGTATAGGAACTTCCTTTGGGAATAAAACCCTCAATATAAAAGACGAACCAGGCCGGGCGCGGTGGCTCAAGCCTGTAATCCCAGCACTTTGGGAGGCCGAGGCGGGTGGATCACGAGGTCAAGAGATCGAGACCATCCTGGTCAACGTGGTGAAACCCCGTCTCTACTAAAAATACAAAAAATTAGCTGGACATGGTGGCGCGTGCCTTTAATCCCAGCTACTCGGGAGGCTGAGGCAGGAGAATTGCCTGAACCCAGGAGGCGGAGGTTGCGGTGAGCCGAGATCGCGCCATTGCACTCCAGGCTGGGTAACAAGAGCGAAACTCCGTCTCAAAAAAAAAAAAAAAAAAAAAAAAAAAGATGAACCCAGCTTAGGTGAGACAAGGTCACAGAGAAACTGGAGACAAGTGATTACAGGGTGAGAACCCCGACCTTGCTAGCCACTTCAAACTTCTGCGGCTACAGGAGTCCTGGGGGCATCAATGTGTCCTACGGCACTCCCCTCATGCTCAAGTCCTTAAACGGTGCCGAAAGGGCAGCGCTCAAGTGCACATCTCCAATGTTTGGGTATTAGGCTAAATCCTGCTTTGTGGCAGAAAGCCAGAAAACGCCGCATAAAGATCAGCAGCCTCCAGGATCCTGATAAGCATTTGCTTGCTTAGAACACTAGTGTGGAGTGGGAAGGAGGGAGATGAGGGCAAGACATACAGAGGGGATGAGAGCACGGAGGGTGCAGGATGGGAGGTTAATCACTGATGCATAGGCTGAGAGGTCATCTGGTCCAATCCTCCTCATTTCACACATGCCCGAAACTAACGGACACTTTAGCAATGAGAATCCGGCCCATTTTGAAAAGCACTCAGAGATGTAGTGTCTACCCCTTTCCCTGGCCAAAGCTGAACAGCTCTCAGTCCACCGTACTGAGGTGAAATACCTCTCAGAACCCTACAGATGAGAGACTATCTGGACAAGTTTCTCAGTACTGACCGATGGTTATGTAGCTCTGCTAATCCCAAACCATTACAGTTTTGGTCATCAGTCTTTCTTTTTCCTTCTTTCTTTCTTTCTTTCTTTTTTTTTTTTTTTTTTTTTTTTTTTTGAGACACAGTCTCACTCTGTTGCTCAGGCTCGAGTGCAGTGGTGTGATCTTGGCTCACTGCAACTTTCGCCTCTTGGGTTCAAGCGATTCTCCTGCCTCAGCCTCCTGAGTAGCTGGGACTACAGGCGCCTGCCACCACGCCCAGCTAATTTTTGTATTTTTAGTAGAGATGGACTTTCACCATATTGGCCAGGCTGGTCTCGAACTCCTGACCTTGTGATCCACCCGCCTTGGCCTCCCAAAGTGTTAGGATTACAGGTATGAGCCACTGCACCTGGCCGGTCATCAATCTTTTTAATGCGGAGACTGGGTGGATTGTGAGTCCGCTTTTAGATTTCCATGGGGACTGGCCCTGTAAACCTAAAGGTCATCAGTACTGACAAAGATAGTATAAGAGATGGCTGGTGAGACATATCTTACTTGCCTCCTATGTTTTGTTCATCTGACATGTTACTTTGAATGGGAAGGTATCCTTTAGCATTTCTAGACAAGGTTCAGGACCTTAGGAAGGCCCTTACATTTTTGGCCCCAGAATTTTCACAGTATCAACTCCAAAGTTTCTTATCCTCTTTTCCTTCTTTGTCAGATGCAGCCTCCATGAATGTGCTGGTGCAGAATTGCAAGATCTACAGTGATGCCAGCTGTGACATTTCTGCAGATGGCCAGCTCCTGGCAGCTTTCATCCCCAGCAGTCAGAGGGGCTTTCCCGATGAAGGGATCCTGGCAGCGTACTCCCTGGCCCCCCATAACCTGGGTGAAATGCTGTATGCCAAGCGATTTGGTAAGGGATAGGAAGCCCGACCTAATGACAGAGGGACGCTGGTGCCTTGGCATGGTCATTCCTAGGTGAGGCATGGCTTGAGTGGGACTAATGGTCATATACTGCCCCTACCTTCACTGGGGCACAGGCCAGAGAGAGATGGCTTTGCAGGAGTCCTGGCTACCTGACTAGTAACATTGCAGAAGAATCTCAGGATTAGAGTCCTACCACATGCTCCTGTTACGATGGCCAGGAATAAATGGCACACACATGCCAAGACAGTTTGGGACTGTGTATTTCAAGCCTCTTAAAATGTGTGAGCTCTTTGATCCGGCAGTCCAACTTTTAAGGAAATAATCAGAAAACTGTACAAAGATTTACATACAAGGGCGTTCACAGCAGGGTTACCGTACAGAAAAATGTCAAATTGTTGCCTTGGGAGTGTTTTGTTTTGTTTTGCTGGTGTCACCTTGGGTTAAATTTAAGTAGTGTTTTGTTTTTGTTTAAGAGTTGCCTAAACAAATGATGGCGCAGGGATAGAATTGCTCCACTGGCCCTTAAAATGCTCTTATAGAACAGTGCTCATAATGTCGTAAATGAAAAAAGTGGGTTCAAAATAGTAATTACAGGATGTTATCAGTTTTTAAAAAATGGGCTATATGATAACAGTGGCTAGCATTTATTAAATACTTCTATATATCAAACATATAGACAGGATCAAAGCATCTCAACAAGGGTTAGCTCAACCTAGTGTCCAGGGCTCTTGGCCAACTCGGTATGTATATACCTTCTTATCGCACTACCCACCACAGTCCTGTGAGATAACCCCAGGATGAGCAAGTGAATATGAAGATAGGAGAAAAAGAGAAGAGTGAGAGTTAAAGTTGTTTCCCTGGAAGGGCAAGAATACTGGGAAATCTCTCTCTGTTCTGTTGGCCCTCAGGTCCTAATGCCATTTCGGTGAGCGCGTCCCCAGTGGGCACCTGTATGGTTTGAAAATCATATACATCGTGATTTACATTTCCAGATCACTTCCCCAAAGTTCCAGTCTCATAGGCAAAAAAGTGCTTACTCAGTGTCTCCAATTTGATGTCTACCAAGCATTTCAAAATTAGTTATTCCTGAAAGAGCGGTCATTTGGAAAAGAGAAAGAAAGAGGCGAGAGAGGGTGAGGAAGTTGCCATTACGTGGTGTCCTAAGGTCCGTACTCACTAGGACCATTAAACACCTCTGCTGCTACTGCTGCTGCCCATGCCTGTAACTCAGTAAAGACTGATCGTCCAGGTTGTCAGGAACAACCCCATGGAATCCTTGTAGCACAGCAAAAGTATTAGTTTAAACCGAAATAAAGCCTGGTGTCCTTAAACTACATAAAGCCTCTATTGCCATGCGAGAGGCCCCTAAGACATAATACTCACTTGAAAATCTCTGTAGAGACAGCTCATTGTTGGCAGCTGCCGGGGGCTCCCTACCGAGCCGCAGCCTGAGCCACCGCCCGAGCCGCCGCCTGAGCCGCCGGGGTGCTGCTGCCGCCTGAGCCGCCGAGCTGTGAGCGCAGCGGAGGGGAAATAAAAGGGAACAGCTCTGAATCTGCCCCAGCAGCCGCTGCGAGACCTCGGCGCCGACAACGCGACACGAAGCGCCCTGCACTCCAGGAAGGACCCCTCTCTGTGCTACTGAGCCGATCCTGGACCCGACGATCCCGCCCTCGGTCTTCGGAGCAGAAATCGCAAAAACGGAAGGACTGGAAATGGCAGACCATATGATGTCCATGAACCAAGGCACCAATGGGCTGCACCACCAACCTGCCCACCGCACGGGCATGGGGCAGTTCCCAAGCCCCCATCACCAGCAGCAGCAGCAGCAGCAGCAGCAGCAGCAGCCCCAGCACGCCTTGATGGGCGAGCACATACACTACGGCGCGGGCACATACACTACGGCGCGGGCAACATGAATGCCACGAGCGGCATCAGGCACGCCATGGGGCCAGGGACTGTGAGCGGAGGGCACCCCCCGCGAGCGCACTGGCCCCCGCAGCCAGGTTTAACAACTCCCACCCAGTTCATGGCCTCCCCGGTGGCCAGTCAGGGAGGCTCCCTGCCGGCCAGCATGCAGCTGCAGAAGCTCAATAACCAGTATTTCAACCATCACCCCTAACCCCAACAACCATTATATGCCTGATTTGCACCCTGCTGCAGGCCACCTGATGAACGGGACAAACCAGCACTTCCGAGATTGCAACCCCGAGTACAGCGGCGGCAGCAGCACCCCGGCGGCTCAGGCGGCAGCAGCGCCCCGGCAGTGGCTCAGGCGGCGGCAGCACCCTGGCGGCTCTGGCGGCGGCTCAGGCAGCGGCTCAGGCGGCGGCTCAGGACTCTGAGCTCCTTGAGAGCAGAGGCTGCGTCTGTTTTATCTTGACGAAGTCCAAGAACTTCATAGGGAACCTAACAATTAGTAGAACATGAGTGAATGAAAGAGAACCTGAAAAAAAAAAAAAAGCATCCTCATCATTTCTAGGTGGCAACTAGCAGAACCAATGATGGATGGTAATAACATAATATCGTGTCCCACCAAGCTTCTGAGAGGGAAACACGTCTTTCTCTGCTTTTGATATCACAATGACAAGAAAGTTCTGATCTTGAATGCCATATGGCTAGAAATACTTGACATTGGGTGAATAGGAGAAGTCATTATGGGATGTTCATCAAGCCTATTTCTTATCTAGATATTTGAGGATAGAAGTTGAGTTTTCATTTAAATCTTCTTTTGCTTTTCTTAAGCAGACTTGGCTGGTAAAAGTACCTGGTCTCTGCTTTTCGCCACCTGGAATCCCAGTCCCAACAGCTGCTCTTCTAAACCTTCCAGCCTAATTGTGGAATAATTGTTTATCATCATTAAGAGACAGGATCTGTTTCGGTAGCTCTGACAGACCTCTCTAGCCTCTCTTGTAAAACAGGGCTCTTGCCCAACTCCTGCACATAGCCTGCCAGTCCTAGCACAGTTCCACTTTTCCGTAAGTAGCCAGAAACATCTGGCAGAAGACAAACAGTTACAAAGCAGAAGCCAAGGTGGTGGGATCTGTTGTCACATATAGGGCTGGCAGCTCAGGGAATGCGGTTAGAGAACTGTGCTGAGGAGATGTGGTAATCCAGTCAGTCCATGGCCGTCCTGCTAAGGGGCACAAGGCGGCTAGGCTAGCCAGCACCTTGGTGACTGCAGCTACTGCCAGGCTGCCCAGTGAGCCTTTTTTGATTTTCAGTAGGGGTACCATCTGCCTCTAAGCACTAAGAAAGGGAGCTGAAGTACCTAGAAATTTCCCATTTGGGAAATGTTCCTGTCACCCAAGAGACAGGATCAAGGCATCTCAAAAAGGTTTAGCTCAACCTCGTGTCCACCCAGTCTGACATTAAGCCCCCATGCTACAGAAAGGTTTCTGGTTTTCCAGGTCTTTGTTGCCCCTTATGTCCAAAGGTAACCAAAGCACTCAGCAAATGTCCCTGAACTCAGTGACTGGTGGAAGGGAAGACACCAGCTTTTTTGGATAGCTGTGCTCGCTCTATCACCGTTTAAGGCAAGAAGTGAATTTTTGTCTGAGAACAGGGAGCAAGGGTTTAATGGGACAGTACAGAGTCTCCCTCTTTGTACAGGTAAGTATAGGTAGGTGTGTCCATCTGTACTGTCAAGCTCTGGCCACAAAGGAATGCGTTAGTGGATAATGGGCCTGTCCTAGAACTTTGCTACCCTGAATTCCCCCTTTCTCTGGTGTTACCTCTTGGAATTCACTGTGGTCATGTACAGAAAGGCAAATGTGTTGGGCCAACAGACATTCCCAGGAGAACATCCTCCAGAGCATTGATTTATTTTAAGATGGCACTAAGTGACATCTCTCCCCAAGAGATGATCTCTGACACAATCCCATATAAAAACTCTTCTGCAAATGAATTGCTAATTGCCATTAGCCTTGATGCACTTACTCCAAGCGTTTCTTCAGACCTCTGGATCTGTGCTTCTCAAACTGTGGTTCCTGGACAACTTACATTAGAACTACATGGGGCCCTTATTAAAATACAGATCTATGTCAAACCTAAAATCAGAATAAGAATGGGAGCCAGAGGGACCCAGGATTAGTATTTCTAAAACAAGCTTTCCTACCAAACTCGGCTTTTTGGCTGTCTTGGCCTCACCTCCCATCTTTTCTCGGCTGTTGACGCTTTCCAGGTTTCTCCCTTGAATTGCTGTATGTGCTGGAGTCTTTTCTTTATGTTGACTCATTTTAATTTTTGTCCTGATTGCTAGGATCTAGGGTCCTTTTGATCTTTCCCTTCTCTCTTCACCATGTTAATCCTCCCAGTTTTAATGATGGGTAAATCAGGTACGACTGGGCATATATTTTCTCTCTCCCTTCCCACTGTCCATTTGCAGTTCCTCCAGACTGGATATGCTACTCTCTGTGACTCGGAGTCTTATTTTCTCTCTGATTCCCTTTTACTTGAGCCAGAGAGAGCTTTTTGTTAATTTTTGTTTTGTTTTTAGGTTAGGCTTTTAGAGGCCGCTGAGCTGAAGTTTTTCTGAATTCTCAAAACAGTAAACTGCCTGTGTTCCCTTCTCAGCTTTCATTTTCTAACTGGAACCAGGCACAGTATTGTAACAGAGAACTGCAATTAATTTTCTAAAATAGTGGCAACTTGCACAATAACTTTGGTTGTAACCAAGTGAAAGCATAATAACAAAAATACAGAATTACTTCCGAAACCAGAAAGAGTCCTATATCACATTGTTCTTCTAGTTTGTATCTCAGTAAGTGCTGTGTTTCTTAGGAATAGGGGCAGAAGCCTGCAACTGGGCAGGGAGGTTCAGGGACATGAGGGCCATGCTAGAGCATTTTGAGCTAGAAAGAAGAATAAGGATTTGTGCTTTCAACACAGAAGTTAACATGGACCCCCCGCCCCCCCGCCCCCCCCCGCCACGTCCCAATAAGTGGAGACTGTAGGCACATAAGTGGTTTAGTAAGAAGTGAAAACGATTCTCATTGCCTAATCCCTGCAGGTCCTGGAGGCACTAGGAACTTGAATCTCACCAGGAGTAGTTTGCTTTTCTCTCTGGGTCATTTTATTGACAGGAGGGATGACAAGGACACCTTCGTTTGACTTGGGTTGGGGAGGAAGCTCTGGAACAGCAAGCGGTTAAGCTCCCCTTTCTCCCTGGAGCAGTGCTGTGGTCTTTAAGGGAGAGCCTCCAATACCTAAGGGTCAATTTTATTGAAAGCTTTTTCTTCGTGGCTGTG